TTATATAAAGGTACAATTCCCAATGAGAAATGTAATTGTGTTGTATACCTACAATGTACCAATAAAAGAATTTAATTTAAAAAAAAGAAATGAATAGGGCATCAGGAACAGAAGAAATATTTGACAAAGTAATGGACAACATATCCACAAATGTAACCAAAGATCCATATCATCAAAGGCAATTCAAAGGCTCTGAAATTGCCCAGGAAAGTTCATTACTGAGAACTTTATCTGAATGTCTTCATCAATTCTCAGGCCCAACCTATGAATAGGAATAAATATATCCCCAGTGGTATAGCTCTGAGTCGGGGAGTTGATTATGCATTTAAGCAGAAAATATAACGAATTCAATAGCGAGAACAAGACTCAAATCCAATACCAACTTTCTTGCTTCTTCCCTGACTTTTAGAAAGGACACCAAATGCCCTTTCTGATTTAGAGCTCTCCTCCCTGACTCCTTGGTCTCCTAAGTGGTCTCATCAGTAGTACAAAGAGTCTGAGATACCTAATCCCCATCTTCCAGCTTTCAGCCAAATCTATCAAATCTGAACCAATTCTATCAGCTCTTCAGTTTCTTCACTCTACTCTATCCATGGTCTCCTCTCTATTAGGATAGAAGTCTTGCCTCTTTCTTCTGAGGCTACTCATTTTGCCCACCTTTAGGAGGCTGGCTAAGCTAACAAAAATAATGGCCCATTTGGGGGCCCAACTGTTTTATAGGGTGACATGCCTACGGGGAAATGAGGCTTGAAGTGCAAACCTCTTATTCACAAATTGATCTCAGATCTATCTGAACTAAAGGCAAATCCTATGCAGAAGAATTACCAAAGACTGCAAGAAATGGCTTCATACTAAGAAGGGCTGGAAATCCTAAGCATTCCCCTTATGGCACCTGCTTTAAATCCCCAAGATTTATGATCAATAAGAGCTGCGTGCAGCTGTAATCATGCCTCATGCAGGGATGATAACCTTTCCAGAAACCAAGTGTTTTGTGTGTCTGGACTTAATCACCAACCCAGCCAAGTCCTGGTCCACATGACTTTTTCCTTCAGCAGGTGGGAGCCCCATGTCCAGCCCCAGACACTAAGTAGAGTCAACTTTTAGACAGGTAAGTAGGTGGGATGTTGTGATAAGTGTCCTGGGACAGAGTAACAACCCACATAGACAAAGTGCTGTAGAAACAAGGGGTTGACCCATCCCGCTTCCCAGAAGTCTCTGATAGAGCATATGGTGGCTTCTCTACGTTTTCTGAAATTGGCATAGTTTTGTTCTCGGTCTATGAAAACTAGTATCTGTCATGGCAGTCACAGGGTTGAGAAACAATAAAACTGAAGCATAAAGAAGAGAAGAGATACCTCTGCCATATCCTCCTGACTTCTCTTTTTTGAGGTAGCAAATGAGGAAAAGTAGCCTATGTCTGCTCTTTTTCTTCCCCATGGGTAAACTTGATTCTACTACTTTTTCTTTTTAAAGCCTTTATGATCACTAATTAATAGCTTGTTTTGGAAATTCTTCCAGTAACTGTAGTCCTCCCTTCTAGTCACATCTTGATATGTTATATTTATTGTTACTCTGTCTCTGGAAGGGGCAAAGGGGACTTTTGGGTAATATGTTTATTTTTGTAAGTGACATAGGCACGGATAATTTAGGACAGGTCCTAGGGTAAGTTTTTGTTTTCCAAAGCACCATCAGGAGAAAGGGGAGTCTGTGGGGCTACCTGCAGGGACCTCAGAGATAGAGGATTTGTCTAGGGTTTGTCTTTATTCTCCTGAACTTTTGGCAATGAACAAAGAGCATACCCCAGCATCCAACCCTCAAAGCTTCCTTTTCTGTACTTACAGGACAGGAAATTACTCCTAAAATCACAGTGTCTGATACTTTACATCTCACACAATACTCTGGATTTCTTGCAAACTTGGTGTAAAGAGATGAAAAGAGCCAAACCTAGGCCCAGAGGATGGCATTGAAGTCATCTCTCCACACTACTCTTATCCTTTCCTACCAGGTGCGTGTCTCTTATACATGTGCCTAGGACTCTTCATTGGTATTGCCCATGATTTCTTAAAAGGAAAAACAATACTCAAGAATAGTCCCCATCTGTTTCAGTCAGGGCTTACCAGAGAAACAGATTTAATGTGAGATATAAAAATATATAAGAATTTACAAGACTGCCTTACAATGGCCGCCCGCAAAGTCAGCTGTGGAAGAGAGCAAAGGGCTGTCTGCATGCTGGAGACCTGAAGGGTCCAGTCAAAAGCCTGGAGCTCAGTGCAGTGTCCCATGCGAGTCATATCAGGAGGTGAAGGGTCCATGCTGGAGGCCAGGAGATGACGTCCAAGGCAAAGGAAAGACTGCAGCTCCTCTGAAGGAACAGAAGCACCTTCCTTCTTCATTCAGGCAACATGCCACCCTAGGGTGGTCTTCCGTCTTGAGTAAGTCCCCTCAGCCACACCCAGAACTGTGCTGATCCAATTTAGTTGGGTGTTTCTTACTCAAATTTACACAATCCGTTAACTATCACCTTTATTGTAGCCTTCGACACTTAGAAATGCTATTTTCTTGCCCAAATGAAGTCCAAGCTATAAAGTTCATATTAATTAATGTTATCGTTTGAGAAAGCACTTGCATATTACACAGTGATTTAAGATAAATGCTTTGCATGAAAGTGACCTGATTCAGGCCAAGCATCAGGCAAGGCCCTCAGCTATCTCCCAGTCTCAAGCTGCCTCTGATAAGCAGTTCCCATCAAACTCAGAGGTCCACTGACTTCGTTTTCCCCTTCACTGATCCTTGTGCCCCTAACCAGCATGTGGACATGCTATAGATCTAGAAGACAGCAGCTTTTGGTAGACAGAACATCTCCAACTCAAGATCTCAACCTCCATCTGCCAGGTCTCACTTGGAGACCCTGCTCAAGCATACTCGGAGATGTTTCTGTCTCACGGGGTATCAGCCAGGAGTCACTACCTGGAAGTCACTAATGGAAATTGTCAGTGAAAGATTCTGCTAGAGCAGTAGTGATAGCAAACCTTCTAGAGACCGAATGCCCAAACTGCAACCCCAAACCCATTTATTTATTGGTATTTATTGCAAAGTGCCAGCATTGCAGTTAAACCTGAATTCTAAGATAAAAACAACTGTTACCTGATGCTCAGCTGCTGCGGTGACTTTGCTCACATGCTGACAGAGGGGGTGTGTGCCCACTGCAGCATGCATGCCATAGTTCACCACCACTGTGCTGGAGTCTTGCAACACATAGAATACATCCATGTAATAGTTCATTGTGGCGTCAGCTTGCATAAGAAATGCCTGGAGGGTTAGCTTAGCACAGTTCTGGGTGTGTTTGGACAACTGACTTACAAATAGCAAAGACCCACCCTGGATGTGGGTGACACCAACCAATAGGCTTGCAGCCTAAATGGAATAAAAAGAAAAAGGAAAAGGGAGTCGGCCATCTCGCTCCTGTGGAGGAGGAATGCCAGTGTTCACTGCCACCTCTGGATGTTTGTCTCCAGGCTTCCAGCGCAGACCCTTCTCTGGCCTCCTGGTATGGACTCTCAGCAGCGTCTGCAGAGAGCTCCGGGCCTTCGGCTTCTGACTGAACCTGCAGGCTCTCCAGCCCAACAGCCATCCTGCACTCTTCCTCCCAGGTCTGCAGGTGGCCACTTAAGCCCACCTCACAAATTCTTATCTATCATACGCACTTTTATAGCAGATCTGTTCTTCTAGGGAATGCTAACTGATATACTCCACCTGAGTGATTTTTCCCACCCCAGCCACATGGCTCAGCCTCAGATCCAAACAATCTCAGTTTGGGAGTCCACTAGAGTAAATCAAGAGGAATTTAAAAGGAAATATATCCTTTGTTCATATTTCTTGAACATTCGAGAGAACCTCCATTCAAAATCTACAGCATAAGCCAAGCCCAGCCTGGGCAACTCAGTGACTTAGTGAGACTGTCTCAAACTTTTAAAAAGATCTGGGAATGGAGCTCAGTGTGAAGGCCCTGGGTTCCATCCCCACTACCACAAAGGGAAAAATCTACAGCGTAACTGTGAAGACGCCCACTCTGGATTATCACATCTCTTCCGCCACCATCATCACCCAGGCTGGCCTGAAGCCTTTCAGAGTCCAAAACTTCTTTGTCAGCAGCAGCCTTCACTCTTCCCATTCCTTTACTGCTTTATTTATTTACCATACTTTATTACATAGACCAATGTAGCTCTCCCTGACCCCTACCTTGGCAAGCAAAAATCCTTTTTCTTTAAGAGGGGGTTTGGGAACAACTAAGCAGGCTAATGCATGCAAGATTGTCTTTCAGAGATATAGTACATTAAAGCACTGACCATATGTTATACTGTGTATTAGTGTATTGATACTGTACATTATGTCCTTTTTTTTTTTTTTTTTTGGTACCGGGGATTGAACTCGGGACCTTGCAAGGCAGGCGCCAGAACCACTGAGCTAAATCCCCAGCCCGCATTATGTCCTTAACACTGTGTGTCAGTACTGCACATTACTGCTTTCCTGCTGACATCCATATTCTGGTCCACTTGCCCTCACCTTGACGTGGTCAGGCCTTCCATTGGTATGGATCCTTTCTGGTACTCCTGTCTGGGCTTGAAGGACTCTCTGGCCAAGTAGGAATGGTAGATAGGGTAGTTCTCGGTGTATTCGGAGAGAAGACATGGTTTCTCTGTTTTATCATAGATCTTAGTAGGAATATGTGGGCAGTGATGCCGCCTAGAAAAGACAGATGGAGTTCGGTTGGTTACTGTAAGAGGGACACATCCAGTTTAATAAGGTCACCTTCCCCCAATGTGACCCAGACTATAAACTGCATAACTGTCAGCATTTTTTTTAAAACCACAATTTAACCCTGCCTTTTCTGTACTGAACTGTGGAGTGGCCAGAACTTAAAATACAGCCTTCAACTGCAGTTGGTAAGTCAATACACCCTGGATCATCAAGAGACACACAAGCATGGCTGGTGTTCAGCTGTTACATAGGCCAGGCTCTGTACCTAATGGAGAACGGCCCACTGCCCTGCCCTTCCCAGTGCTGCTCCACCTCCCCCAGGCTGTACCCGGAAGCCTCCCCACAACCCAGCAATTAAGGACTGACAACTGGGTGCTCCCAAGGTGCTGTTCTTCAGCCAAGCTGGTGTCGCTTCTGGGTCAATTCAAAGCATCACCATTGCACTCGAGTGCTATCATTATCACAGACAGCAGAACCACTTCTGTTGGGGGTCCACTGACACCACAGCCTCTTTTCATGTTGAAAATGCTATTCTTCCAGGTCTCCCCTCAGTGTCACACCTTAGACCTCCCCGATGATCTCAGCCCTGAACATACACCCCATTGCCTTCCCTCTCCTTGCTGTCCCTGTGTGTGCAGCCTCTCCCATCACCTTGTGTGTGCCTTTTTGCATCACTTCCTGTTAGCTGTGGGAGGCCTATGGGTGATACAGCTTCTTGTCAATCTTATCTGGCAAGCTCAAGACCTTTTCCTCTCTTGTTCCCTGCTACTCCCCTAGTTCCTCACATCTCAACAGGCACATAATAGGCATTCAGTAAACACTTATTGAATGAATGAGTATAGAAACTGAACAAATGATAAATATATAGTTTAAAGATATAATTTATAGTGAGCTTTTCCATTTTACATACATGTTAATAAAGTTTGTCCACTTACAGCTGGACAAAGGGCAGCTGTTGGAGCTGCCATAAACTAAGCAAGCAGTACATAAATCACTTGTGTACCCATGCACAATCCTTGCAGATGAGGTAGCCACTTCCAGGCACAGGCGTCACCATATGAGCAGAAACTCCATGTCAATGATTTCCAACTTAGTTATAGCAAGGAACGGCATTTCAATGTTTTTACATTTTAAGTACAGCAAATGGGAGAGGAAAGAGAAACTTAATGTAAAGCTATTTTCTAGGCAACCACTGGCCTGCTTCACCTATGTGTAGCTGCCACCATTGTTGCTCTGCATACCTCTCCTCAACCTCCATCCCTGCAAAAAGTTTCAACACCTGTATTGTCATGTGGCAGGAACTGCATATAACAAATCTTTAGAGACACTATTTTCTTCTCATTTGTAGAATTGTACATAGGAAAAGCATTAAAGTGATTTAAAATTGATTCATGATAAATATTTTAGGTACAATGCGGGGCACTTTCTCAGAGGATGCCTGAAACCACAAATACACATACTGTTTTTCCTATGCAAGCATATATGTAAGTTTAATTGATAAATCAGGCACAGTGAGAGATTAACAATTTCTTACTCTACATCCTAGCAACCTCAGCATATGATTTCTTCCCCTAGTAAGAACTTTCACCTTTTCACTTAGGGAAAGTACTCTGAGGCCCATTTTAAGTAAAGTAAGGGTTACTTGAGCATAAACACTGTGATACCACAACAACTGACCTGATAACAGAAAGGGCTGCTAAATAACTAAGGGGGGGCAGCTACTCTGTGTGGATATGGCCATCCAAGGGCTGATTCCTAGCCCACATTTCATTGCACTTCCCAGAATGCCACACAATTTTAAACCTGTAGTGTGTTTACTTCTGGAAATTTACCATTTTTGGACTGTGGTTTACTGAGGATAACTGAAACCATAGAAACCAAAACAGCAGATCAGGGGAGACAATGTAATTATTTACAAGGGAATCTTACAAATATACGCTGTCCTTATTGTATGGCTATCTAAACCTCCCGTGTTAAATATAATCAGTAAAAGCTTTAGTTTTTTTTCTTCAAAATGCACATTGCTTGCATTTAATGTACAAAGCTTACTTTGCATTTATATTTTATATATATTTAATAAAATATCTCCTAGTTATTGGTGCACAGTTAATGAATACTTTAAAATATCTTCTGTTCACTCTAGAGATAAATTGGTGTGTTTGCACAGTAAACAAAATAACCACTATACATAAATGTTAGATATTATCACCATTTCTGTGTTTATCATCAGTCCAGTTATCTGGGATTTCACTGAGCCAGTCAGTACCCTATCATTGCAGGATTCCTACAAACCTCAAATCAAAAAACAAGAAGTACTGTTTGACAAAAATGCTTCTGCACATGTATCTTATTCCCCCACTCTGAGAGGAAAGTCAGGACTGTATTAAGGACAGCTCAGAGTCAGCCATTCACAGTAAAACAGACTGCAAAAACAGGTGTTTTCCCTCTCCGTGGCCACTGTTTTTTTTAAAATGGTAAAATTTGCCTTTTTGTATCTTTTCTCTGTATTGTTAACGTTTTTAAAAATATAACACACACTATATGAGTTTATTCCAAAAGAAAAATAAACTTAATGGCAAAATACTATAATATGGTCAGTTTCATGAGAATGGATTTCAGTACAGCAATAAGTTTCCATCCACACATTGACGTTCCAGTAAATGAAATTATATCGACATATTTTTATAGGGAGATTCTATTCATTTGACTTATGTGTTAACTGAAATCTTGTCTTACTTTGAAATATCAAAAATTCTTATTTAAAAATGTCTCGTTGCCCAAATTTGCCCTTGGGGTCGTCTCCTTGCCCTACCTGGATGATCCCTCAAGATGTTGAGCCCCGTGTTGTTGTTCATCTGCCTGCCCCATGGGATAAATACTAAATCAGAGAGCTCTATGTCCGGAATCCAGGCCTGAATCTGATATATTTACTGATCATTTGGACAGACAGACAGTTGGGCAGCATACTGGAAGAAAACTGCTAAATGAAAGATATTTACAAGTCATCAGGAAAAGGACAATGACTAATTTGCTCTATGAGTAGGGCCAAAAAGGAAAAGACAGACTCTCAGTTTCTATGGAACCAGTCAATGTCTGAACGAAGTTTGTGGAATCGCCATACTTGGAGTATTTAAAGGTTCATTTGATGGCCATGAACCAAAGAACTGAGACCTCTCAAGAAGTGAATTTTACCAGCTACGTTTACACCAGGCTCAGGTGCTCAAGTTCAGGACCCAACAGCAGGAATGAAAAGGAGAGGAGGAAGCTTGTTTAGTGCACCAGAGTTCTAAAAGCTACCCTCTCCAGAATTTATACTACTCAAGAGAGAAAAGGAAATATCTTGGTTTTCTCTGAGAGCTCACAAATGGAGTTGTAGAGACCTTTTGAGAAAAAGTTAAAAATAGTTGACACTGAGGACTGAACTCAAAGCTAAATTCATACAATTTTTAAATGGAAAATATCAAATACAATCTCTCCATTATGCAGATGAAAGATGAGCTCAGAACAATACACAGGGCCTAACCATGGATCAGAACATACTCGGTCACATCTGAATGACTAGGCACATCCTGATGTGCAGCTCACTCGGGAAACCCAAGAAGGGGTGACAGAACTTTGGGGATATAATAACAGGTACCTCTAGAACACCACCACAGAAAGAGAGTGCTGGCCATATACAGTATATCATTTTAAATTCCCTAGTATTTACATTAAAATGGTCAAAAGAAGCAGTTGGAATTTTAATTATATTTTATTTAGCTCAATATATTCAAAGTTTCATTTAATGTGTAATCATTAATGTATAATTAGGATAAAAATTAACAATTTATTTTCTTTACACTCTTTAAAAACCAATAATGGAGCACATCTCAGTTTGGACCAGCCACAATTCAAGGGCCCAACGGCCCCATGTGGTAGTGGCTTCCCTATGGGAAACTATAAGATTCGAAGGAACTGAAAACATTTGGGTGCCAAAAACTTTTCTCTAAAAGTAGAAAAAAAAATAAAGATGCTTAGAAATATTTTTATGACTAATGTGGCATTTATCTCTTTAAGTTCTCTAACCAGCCTCCATGTAACACAATCAGAAGACATGAAAAACGAAGGGGTTTTCCATAATTTACCTCAGTCTGTGGTACCACACTTCAGTTTGCTGTACTTGTAACATTCCTTCTATCTGCTCATGTCTACTTTTCCAAAATGCTTCCCTTCCCTTTTGAGACATCCTCGGTGCCACCGCTCCCCCAACACCCTAGCACTGCCCATGACCCTGTTAGACACTGCTGCTGTCCACGACACTCACTGTTTGAGTGTGCTTAGTACTATGTCCCTACCTCTACTTTTTAGCCATCTTTTTCATCACCTACATTCTTTATTTTTATTAACATAAAACAATTGTATATATTTATAGGGTAGAGTATTCTTCAATATATGTATACAATGTTCAATGCTCAGGTCAGTTAAATTGGTATAACCATCACCTCAAAATATTTACCATTTCTTTGTGTTAGGAACCTTCAGAATCCTCTGTCCTAGCTATTGTGAAATATATAATTAAATACTGTCAACCACAGTTGCCCACTGTGCTACAGTGTCCCAGTTTCTTTTAGGATCCTTTATTTGCTGGACTTCCTTGCATAAACATTGATGTTGGGCTTTCATAGCTGTAACTTTAGGGGCAGGGTTCTATCGCCAGGAAGAAAACAGAGTAGGGGCCTCATAGCTCTGGTGGTTAATTCTGACTAGAATTCACTAGAGAAATTCCTCTGGGAATAATTTCAAGGATGGAGGTAGAGAAAGAGAAAGCCAGATAAAAGAAGACACAAGGGCCAGGGATTTAGCTCAGTGGTTCCGCCGCCTGCCTCGCAAGCACAAGGACCCAAGTTCGATCCCCCGTACCAAAAAAAAGAAGACACAGATACCACGGGTGGCATTGGGGACCTGCCAGAGAGAGGGACACAGACAGAGTGTAGAACGCTGAGAGC